GGAGGATCAGCAGGTCATGCGACACTTCCTGGACTGACCAGTATTGTCTAATATTGGGGTCCTGCAGGAAGAGATGTTTCCAGATGAGGGTGACCTCTGCCTCTGTATTGAAAGTAGACAGCAGTCTAGGCTAGTGAGAAACATGAAGGAGCCTGGGTGATAATTAAGGAGGGGGACAGGGAGCCCAGAGATAGAGGATTCCTCAGGGAGCTCCTCTAGAGAGCCTATTTGCAAATTCACTAGTAAAAGGGAAAGGTGGGGGGGGATGATGTTTGTGATGATAAGGGGGCAGAATGAGACAAGGGAGGCAGTGGAAAAAGGGCCAGGTAAATCAGGATCTGCTCCCCAGAGGACTAAAACCAGACACACAAATCCTGTCGTTGAGTTGATTCTGACTCACAGTGACCCTGTATAGTTTCTCAGACTGTCCCAGGAGTGGCTGGTGGGTTTGAACAGCCAACCTTGTAGTTAGCGGCCAGAATGCTGAACCCACAGTGCCATCAGGGCTGCCCGAGCCCCAAAGGGAGCAGAGCCTGATTAAAGTTAAAATGGCCTCAACTCTAAATCAGGGATTAAGCTGAGGGCATCAGTTTCTCTCTAAACCCAGTGATCAGACCCTACCCAGCTTGTGCATTTTCTGTTCCCAGGGATAGATTTAGGTTCTGACCAGGACACAAGGGGCAACTATGGCAGAAGGCGAAGGTAAGCAGATAGAAGCTCCCTGAGACTCTTGCCAACTTCCTCCCTGGCTACAGGTCTACCATGAGCGTGTCAACACGCACGTGGCTGAGGCGGAGTTTGACTACGCCCGTTGCGGTGTCCGGGATGTGTCCAAGACACTGGTTGGACTGGAGGGCGCGCCGGCCACGCGGCTCCGCTTCACCAAGTGCTTCAGCTTCGCCAGCGTGGAGGCCGAGAACGCCTATCTGTGCCAGCGCGCGCGTTTCTTCGCCGAGAATGAGGGCCTGGACGACTACATGGAAGCGCGGGAGGGCATGCACCTGAAGAATGTGGACTTCCGTGAGTTCATGGTGGCTTTCCCGGACCCAGCCAAGCCGCCGTGGTACGCCTGCTCATCGGCCTTCTGGGCCGCAGCGCTGCTCACGCTGTCGTGGCCCTTGCGCGTGCTGGCCGAGTACCGCACAGCCTACGCGCATTACCACGTGGAGAAACTCTTCGGCCTGGAAGGCCCGGGCTCAGCAAGCAGCGCTGGCGGCGGACTAAGCCCCAGCGACGAGCTGTTGCCCCCTCTCACCCACCGCCTGCCACGGGTCAACACAGTGGACAGCACGGAGCTGGAGTGGCACATCCGCTCCAATCAGCAGCTGGTGCCCAGCTACTCCGAGGCAGTGCTCATGGACTTGGCGGGGCTGGGGGCGCGCTGTGCGGGGGGCGCGGCTGGCGGCTATGCGCCCACGTGCCGCTACGGTGGGGTGGGCGGCCCGGGCGCGGCGGGCGTGGCGCCATACCGGCTCAGCTGTGAACACTGCCAGCGCGCGGTCAGCAGTTCGTCCATCTTCTCCCGCAGCGCCCTGAGCATTTGCGCCAGCCCACGGGCCGGCCTAGGGCCTGGCGGGGCCGCGGGTTGCGGGGGCAGCCGCTTTTCGCTCGGTCGCCTCTACGGCTCTCGGCGCAGCTGCCTGTGGCGCAGTCGGAGCGGGAGTGTTAACGAGGCAAGCTGCCCCACCGAGCAGACGCGGTTGTCAAGTCAGGCCAGCATGGGGGACGACGAGGATGACGATGAGGAGGAGGCCGGGCCGCCGCCGCCCTACCACGACGCCCTCTACTTCCCAGTCCTCATCGTCCATAGGCAGGAGGGGTGCCTGGGCCACAGTCACCGTCCGCTACACCGCCATGGCTCCTGCGTAGAGACCTCACTGTGACCTCCGGCCCCTAGAGAGGCCCTCGCTGTCCTTCCTCCTGCCCTCCACCTGACTGTGCCCTCTGCGTGTAGCAGGGGGAGTCACCATAGCTGACGGAGGCTGTACTGGGCGGAGGGGGCAAGGCGAGGCTCACCGGAGAGGCCAAGATGGGACAGAGACCCCCACCTTCCCTGTACATAGAGACAGATTCTTAGGTGGGGGTCGGCAGCTCCCTAGAATCCCACCCTAGCAAAGGATCACCTCTTCCAGCTCCGCTCCTGAGTTCCTAAGGGGACACCTTCCCTTGTTCCTCCGCACACTTGAGATTTCCCGTCCAGCCTTTCAATGGATCTTCCGACTGTTAAGTGATGACTGTACAGTGGGGCCAGCGGTCAGCCTCGTCTCAAATGGGAGACCCTCGCTGTGCAGCTGGGGAAAGAAAATTGGGAGTGTCCTTCCTCTGTTGCCTCGTTTTATTGAGGCCTCTCTCAATTGAGGGAGTGGTGGTTTGGTGAATATCAGGGCTGGTCTCCAACCAGCTAGGATTTCAGTGGGTCTGAGATCCGTGACCAGGTGTCAGCCCTGACGCTCCATTTCAACTTAATGGAAACGTTATTCTTCTCTTCTTGGCACTGACCTCAGCCACTGGGGTTTCCTCTCTGCCACTCCTTCCACCGTTGTTTATCTCACTGGGCCCCAGGAGTCCTGGTCCTGGAGGGACTGTGCTCACCTCCTGCTCCCTTCCCGTGGAGAGCTGTTGCCAGGGGGAAGGGATGAGGTAGTGTGGAGGGCCGTGTACCTTGGTCCTGTCTCTAAACTCAGCAGCCTCCCCTGGGTTCTGGGTGGGTATTCTCTTCAGAGGGCATGAGGTGCCACCCAGGTAACCTCCTTAAAACTAGATAGGGGCAATGACTGAGAGTGGCGGGGCATGAGACCAACTTGGGTGACAACAGGAACTCTGGCAGCAGGTGGGAGTAGAAGAGGACCCTGAGGGTCAAGGCAGAGGGTAGTAGAGGGTGGATGGAGTAAAAGGACCTTGAAAGATGGAGTGGTCTGTGGGAAGGAGTGTAGAGTGACTGCCTCTCTCACAAGGCTGAGGACTCATCACAAGCCCCCTCTGGAGAGATACCTCCAATGGCAGGAATTCTTGAAATCTTGCCTGTCATCTCTATCCACCTCCCCTTGTACTACCCAATGAGCTGAAGGTCTTCTGGGTGTCCTAGGGTATCCAAAGGGACATCCTGCCTCTACTCCAGGGCATTGGTTCCAGGTTCTATTTCCCAAAACTCTGAAGCCGCCACCTCTCTTCTGTACCTCCTTCCCTCCATGTGCTTCGGTGTGCATGTTTGTGTGCTTCCTCCTGCCTCCCACTCCGCCACTACTCCTTTGGCTAATATTTCCCAGCAGATTTAGTGCCCAGAGACTGGGCTCACATTTTAAGCTGAGAGGGTAACCCTTGAGCCACCTGGGCATTACTCACCACCATACTTCTCACATGGTTTGATCCAGCAGAGCCCCTCCTTCCCTCCTTCAGCCTATCCCACCTATCTCCCACCCAGCTCAGTCTTTTTTCACTAATGGGCCTGGCCTCCACCTATGCAACATCTCCTCTGGATCCCCTTGCTTCCCTAGGGAGGGGATGGGGGAGATACAAGTTATGGGGACACTGTTCATGGCCTATTAGGGGGTTGAGCTGGGAAGGGAGGGAAAGCCAGAGAAGGGGAGGCTCGGGTAGAGGGGACAGCTGCCCACCACATTATCCCTGGCAGCAGTGCCCACCTGCCTACCAGTACTGGCCAACCTGGACCTGAGTCTGTTCTCTTTGGACAGCTGGCAGTTGGAGTGCCCCTCTTTCCTCTGAATGGACATCTGTGAGGTACAGGTGGTGAGCCAGCTGGTACTTGGATGTCCTGCTCTTCTGTGGGGGTTAGCCTGATCACCTCATGGCTCCAAGGAGGGAAGACTCTTCCTTCAGGCCTGTTCCTGAGACAGAACCTGGCCTGGGAAGAGGGGAAGGTGGTCCCCTATTGTTATTTTTGCCTATATTGACCATTTCTGCCTAGGTTTTCTCATGCAGACAGCCTCAGCACACACAGACTTAAAGAAACCAATTCTTGGGTCTGTTTTCTTGGTAGCTTTATTGATTGCCAAGGAAAACTAAAAACAGAAAATTAATCCATCTCTAAAATTAAACTTCACATCGAAGGTTCTTGTTTCTCTAATTAGGATGTCTACTAGTGGCTGTGGCTACACACTCACACACACACACACACACACACAGACACACACATGTTCACTCCAGAACAGTCAGAGGGAGTCAGGCATAGATAGACTCTAGGTCACCCAGATAGGCACACACATGCAGTCATGCACAATCCCCTCTGGTGCTCTGCTTGGTGCCTGTTACTGAAAAGGCCCCTGGTTGGCAGGGGACCACTCTTTGGGAACATGGATCTGGAGGCTCTGGGCCCTTCAGCCCAAGGAGGATAAGGATGGGGCTCAGCCTGAATCCATCAGTCAGGCCCTCATGTGGCCCCTGGGAGTTGATGGAATTCTTGTGGTCTGGCTCAGGACAAGCAGTTGTGCTGGCAGCCACAGGGTGACAGGGACTCACAGAGGGCACTTGGAAGGCTCCATGTGTCTTGGGGACAAGGGCTTGTGGGATGGGCTGGGCTTGGCTGGGGAGGAGACAGGTCTCTGTCAATTGGGTGCATCACACTGTGGCCTTTCTGTCGTGGATTTCCAAGCGCAAAGATTGTACAAATTAAACTGGCAGATAATAAAGTTGTGGATGACTCACTCCCCAGTGTGACGCTGACTCCCCTTGGGGTGGAAGACTGCTACAGCCTGAGGGGTGTGCGTCAAGGTTAAGAGGTCAAGGATGTGTTCAATAAAAGATGTGGGGAAAGGGGTCAGGGCAGTCCCCACTGGAGAGTCTGGTTATGCCAAATCCCTCAGAGCCATCCTCTTCCCTATTCCCCAAAGAAGTTGGTCCTTTCTGGAGGTCCCTCCCTAGTGCACAGGAACTAAGTCACTATTTCATAACCCTTCCTCCCCTCACCCCAGGGATATCCATGGCATTCCCCCTTCCCCTTGGCTGCAGGGGGGTAAAATGAGGGTTCCAGCCCTGTCCATATCTCATCCTGCAGTTTTCTCAGTATCGGTGGTGGTGGATGACATGCAGTGGCTGGGATTCAAGGCCCGTTGGCGGGCTGCTTCTCGGTTTGCTTGGAGGGCCTGGCCAATGAGGTATTCACTTTCCTGGGCCACATCTGATAGGCGCAAGTCAAACTCCAGAAGGGTCTTGTTGTCTGACATCCCTTCCAAGAGCTGTTTCCCGCCGTCCTGGCAGAAGGGGAGGGATATGAGAGAAAGGATCATTTTTCATCACTACTTGGATCACACACACACATGTACATGTGTATACACACATATATTCACATTTATATACAGCTACAACTGAGGCAACAACATTCTTATCAATGGAGAAAAGATTGAAGTTGTCAAGGACTTCATTCTTCTTGGATCAACTATCAACACTCATGGAAGCAGCAGTCAGGAGATCAGATGACGTATTGCATTGGGCAAATCTGCTGCACAGGAACTTTTTAAAGTATTGAAGAGCAGAGATGTCAGCTTAAGGACTAAGGTGCTCCTGACCCAAACCATGGTATTTTCAATAGCCTCATATGGATGTGAAAGCTGGACAGTGCATAAGGAAGATCGTAGAAGAATTGATGCCTTTGAATTGTGGTGTTGGAGGAGAATACTGAAAATGCCATGGACTGCCAAAAGAACCAATAGATCTGTTTTGGAAGAAGTGCAGCCAGAGTGCTCCTTGGAGGCCAAGATGGCTAAGCTTCGTCTCTCTTTGGACATATTGTCCAGAGGGAACAGTCACTGGAGAAGGATGTCATGCTAGGTAAGGTGGAGGGTCAGAGAAAAAGGGGAAGACCCCTAACGAGATGGATTGGCCAGGTGGCATCATTGATGGACTCAAGTGTGGCAGTGGTAGTGAGGTTGGCCCAGGATCGGACATTGTTTCATTCTGCTGTGCATGGGGTCGCTATGAGTTGGTTCCAACTAGATGGCACCTGAACGACTGAGGCAAAGGTTTCTCTAAACAACAGTTAACCTCTTTGTGTAGTATACTGATTATTATCCCATCTCATTTGAAAAATGGTGGCCAAGACCCGCTCAAGTGATTTATCAACACCTCAAAGGACTAGAACATATGGATCTATGGAAATTATGGTGATTCCATTCCTTTTAACTGGTTTAGCCAAGGGCGTGGGAAACATGGTTAATAAGGTGTGAGAGAGTAATCTGAAGGGGGCCTAATGGGAAGTATGATTGAGTGGGTTAGGCCTAATGTGAAAACATTTCGTATTAGGTGAGTGCTGTTGTTTTATGGTTATCACTCAATACTGGGTTGTGAAATCAATTTAGTGGGCCAAGACAGCATTTAAGACATGAAACTGACTAGAATATAAAGGACATAAATGCAAATAGGAAACATCAGCAAACATAAGCAGTAATGTTTATGTTCACTAGGTTGTCATATAGATTGCATTTCTTACTCCAGGATCTGGTCAGGAAACTTTGAAAGACACTGTTCACTGGAATGGAGCTGAGTTTTCAATCACTCCTGAGTTTGAATCACAGCTCTGCCACAGGATGCTCTTGGGCAATGTACTAACTTCTCTGAGGTTCAATGCTATGCATTCTACTAGATAATGGTGAGGTTTAACCGAAAAATATTGGCTGTTGGGTACCTAGCATAGTATGTCATTGTGAGTTATAACAACAGCTGTTGTTGTTGCTTTTATTAAGCGTCATCAAATCCGTTCCAACTCATAGCAACCCTGTGTAGGGTTTCTGAAAAGTGACTGGTAGGTTTGAACCACTGACCTGTGGTTAGCAGTCCAGTGCTTACCAGGACTCCAATAACAGCTAGCAATTTCTACAGACTCACCCAATGCTCTACAAAGAGTATGACTCATTTAATCTTTCCAATAAGGACACTGAAAAGGAGTAGGTCTAACTACTCGCCCCATTTGTTATTGTTGTTAGTGGCCATCCAGTTGGCTCCGACTCATGGTGGCCTTATGTATAGCAGAAAGAAACATTGCCTGATCCTTTGTCATCCTCACAATTGGTTTGTTTGAGCGCACTGCTGCAGCTCCTATCTTCATTTTACAGACCAGGAAATGGAGGCCCAGAGAGGTTAAGTAATTTACCCAAGAGTAAAATTACTAGGAACTAGGCAAACTTTATAATCTCATAGGCAAAGTTTAATCTTAACAATTATCTTGCAAGTACCCCATGGCAGTTGGATTGCACTAACTACCCTCTAAAGATCTGCCCTAGAAGTGGTGGCTCACCAGGCCGATGTGGTTGCAGGACAGGTTGATGTTGGTGAGTGTAGTGTTGACAGAGAGCACCTGGGACAGGAGCGTGGCGGTGGGCTCTGACAGTTCATTGCCACCCAGGTGCAGTGTGGTGAGGCACTTGTTGGTCTGCAGAGCATGGGCCAGTGCCTGGCCACCCTCATCCTCGATGCAGTTGAGGCGGAGATTAAGGTTGATAAGGTTGGTGTTGTGTGCCAGGGCGTGAGCCAGAGACTGGGCACCTGGTGCGCGCACCTGGTTGTTGGCCAGGTTGAGTATGCGCAGGCGGCTGTGGCTCAGCAGCTTGGCGGCGGCGCGCACACCACGGTCTCCAATGAGGTTGTGGGACAAGTCCAGCTCTTCAAGGGCTGGGTGGTCTAGGAGGCTGCGAATCAGGATGCGTGCCTTGTCATCATCCACCCTGCTTCGGGTCAGCCTGAAGACCTGCAGACAGGTAGAGGTCTGCTAGAACATTTCATAACCATTATTTCTAACTCTCAGCATTCCAGTGAGGTAGAGCAAGTTCTTCTCATTTTACAGATAGAAAAAGGAGGCTTTGGGAGATTACCTTATTTTCTCAGGGTCTAACAGTGATTAAGGGACAGAGGCAGGTTTTGAGTCCTACTCTAATGTCCTAGCCCCTCAGTATGCCCTCCTTAGCTGGTGAAAATCCACCATGGCAGAGGGCGGAACTCTTTGAAGGAGGCTGCCAGGGTGAGAACCATGGAGAGAATGTGGAGGGAGGAGGCAGGAAACTGATGGGATAAAGAACTAGTATTCTGAATAGCACAGATGAGAGAAGTCCCCACCCTTTTCCTTCTTGCTGATTTGTTGCACTCCTGCCTTTTCCTGGAGATCTGTGTCATGGTCCTATCCTTCAGCCCTCTTCTTTATTTACATCCCTTTACCCAGCTTAGAATCTTTTGTCTCTCTTGTCTTTTCATTGCATCTGTCTGGCAAAATACCAATCCTGGATCAACCCCACTTTCTATTTTCTGCATTCTGCATGTTTGTGACCAAGCCCAAATAAGTCACATGATAGGGCTGGTTGGCATCACTGGAAATTTATTATCTTCAACCACCAATAGGTCCTCAGTGCCATGTGCCAACCCAACTACATCTCTCTAGTCAGCTGACTCTCCTCTCATAAGCTACAACAACGATTTAATCTTTTCTAAGCCTCCTCAAACTGCAGGTGCCCCCCTACATCTCTTTTCAGCAGGCAAACTCTCCTCCTCATTTACAGGAACTCCTCATTACCAAATGCAAGCCTGCCAATACTACTACCCTCCACTAGGTTTCTTCTCACTTTTGACTATTCCCTATGACACTGTCCAAATCCAGGGCTTCAATTGCTACCTTCAGCTCAGACCTCTCACCTGAGCTTCAGACCCATCTGCCCAATTAACAAAATGACTCTTCAGTCAGATTCCTCAAAGCTACCTCAAATGAGAAACTGAACTCATGATCTTCCTCCTTCAACCTGATCCTCCGTCCACATTTACCTGTCTCTGCAAATGACCCCTTCATCCATCACAAGCCAGGGGCCTTCTCTTCTAGATCCTACTTACGCCAGGAAGGCCAGTAAATTTGACTGCTTGAGTATCTCTTAGCATAGTGGTTACGAGTTGGGCTGCTAACTTCAAGGTCAGCAGTTTGAAACTACCAGCCATTCTGTGGGAGAAAGATGAGACTTTCTGTAAAGATTTACAGAAAGTAAATCCTGTAAAGATTTACAACCTCGGAAACCCTATGCAGGGTCGCTATGAGTTGGAACCGACTCCTCGGCATACCACCACCACCACCACCACTAAGTAGGTATCTCTTTGGGAGTTCAATGACCCTGTATGATAAACACTAGACTGCAAACCACAGGTCTGTGGTTCAAGCCCACCAGCTGCTATTCAGGAGAAAGATGAGGCTTTCTGCTTCCACAAATATTTACAGCCTTGGAAACACTATGTATAGGTGCATACTTGCTATGAGGTGGTACATACTCAAAAGCACTTAACAACAACAAAATCCTCTTTAATCTCCCCACTTGTCTCAGTCTCCATAGACACCACCCTCATTCAAACTACTCTCATCTTTACTTGGACTTGACCATGACCTCCCAGATTTTCTCCCGTGTCCACCATGACCCTGTCTCGTCCATTCTCCATCATGAGCAAAGAGATCTTTTCATATGAAAACGGCAATAACGTGACCTCTTTTGTGCCCAAAAGCCTTGGATGGTGTCCTAGAGCTCTTAAGGATAAAGTTAAACTCCTTAACAAGGCCCTCTTCACCCAGTGAGTCTGGCCACCGATTGCGTGTCCATTTTCATCTCACTGTCTTGGCTACAGTCACACTGACCTTCTCTTTCAAGCCCCTTAAATTTGCCATGTTCACTCTGCCCTTAGGACCTCTGTATATGCTGCCTCCTCTGCTTAAAATGTTCTTTCCTCTCTCCTTATATTATCACTTCTACTTTTTCTTCTCATCACTGCTTAAGTGAGACTTGTTCAGGAAAGTCTTGCCTGGCAAGATCAAATCCCTCTTTTATCATCTCTCTTCTTTATAGTGTTTATTCCAGTTTATGGTTGACAGATAAAACACAAGATACAGGACACCCAATTAAATGTGAATTTTGGGTAAACAAGTATGCTTTGTGCAATATTTGGGGTATGTTGTGAACTGTGGTAGAGTCGGCCCCTGACTCATGTGACAAAAGGCTACCCCATCCTGGGTCATCACCATGATTGCTTAGAGAGAGGACTTTGAGATCCACAGAGTTTTCACTGGCTGATTCTCATACTAAAATTCAGATTTTTATTGGCTAAAACTGGCAACCTAGTTTTACTGCAATTATGCACTTAGGTGATTATTTGATTAATGTCTTGCATCCCACCAGACTGTCAGCTCCAGAGGGCTGATATCTGGTATGTTGTTGTTGTTGTTAAGTGCTGTCGAGTCAATTCTGACCCATAGCGACCCTATATAGGGTTTCCAAGGAACAGCTTGTGAGCTTGAACCGCTGACCTTGCAGTTCAAACGATTTTGCAGTCTGACAAATTAGCCTACAGTGCCACACCAGGACTCCGATGTTGTTGTTGTTAAGTGCCATCGAGTCGGTTCCGACCCATAGCGACCCTGTACAGGGTTTCCGAGGGTGTAAATCCTTACGGGAGTAGAAAG